TTGTTGCTTTGTATACATTCCTTTGCAAATATTCTACCGTCTGGCGTGTATTGTACTTAATTACATTCAGAAGCATTCGACGATTCCTTAATTCGTAGGACATAATGGCTTTGAATATCGAGTTTTCGAAAATTAACTACTTGTAACAACAAGATTATTTGTCCAGAAACTCTAAACGCAGGATCTGCAAAGCATTGATTAGTCTCCTACGTTCCTGCATGACAATTCAAAAAATTCACGGTAAAGTTCTCTTAAATAACTTCTTTCCTTTTTTCTTTTGTTCCTTTGAGTCATTGAATCCATTTTAGACTCGATTCAAATCAGTCCATAAGGGCAGAGCGTGTATCGTAAAAATCTTAATCTAGAGTGAATACTTATACATATAATAGCGCATTGTTCATTCAAAAAGATACAACGCGACTATTCTGCTGCGACTGAGTAGTAGATTGTTCGTTGGTCGTACGATTTTGACTGCCAGGATTATTCTGTTGCTGCTGATTAGCGGGTTTACGATTTCCACCTCTGGAACCTCTATAACCACCTCGGAAGCCAGAACCACCTGCACCACCACCACCTCGATACATGCCTCCCATTCCACGATTATAGTAACCGCGTCCACGAAAACCACCACGTCTCGTTGACGCTACACCAAATGTTTCAGAGTTCAATTTACGCTCTGTCCTCCAGTCCGTACGTTGGAATCGTCTGAAATAAAAAAAAAAAATTATTCATACGATTTTTTATATAAATTTTAATTATAAAACTTTAAACTATATATTATTAAATTGAAAATTCGTCAACTTACCCTTTACTCCTCTCAACAGCTTCACAGCTGATATTATCGAAGAAAGATTTGGACTTGTCATAATGAACTATCTCAGGTTCTTCCTCGGGCTCTCCTTCACCGGCTCCTGTTTCGTTACCACTATCATCCTTCTTTTCGTTATCAGCACCGGCATCAATTTTCGTTTTTGCTAACTGAGATCTAAAATACATCATACAAGAAGTAAATTTTAATTCATTTTTAATTATCTTTTAAGTAGACAAGTTTATATCTATTTATAGTCTACAGATAATGGGTATGTTGATGCGTTGCGTAAGCAAAGGATATTATAGTAAAAATATATTGTTTCAAAGACGCATATCGTTGATTTTGCATGGTATCCACATACGTCGTTTCAAACATACTTGAAAAGAATCCGGCAGTACCATGCTATATACTACATATATATGTATGTGTTTATCTAAAATACATACCTCAATTCCTCGAACTCAGTATTGGCTTGTTCGAAGTCATAATCATTATCGAATTTCAGTGTATTCTTGGGTTTGGCACCAGCATTACCAGGCTGATTTCTAAAACCGCCGCGACCTCTTCCTCTTCCGCGCATATTTCCACGATTCATCCATCCACCACGATTTCCTCGACCACCTTGATTATGACTACCTTGTCCTTGCAGTTGACCATCTTGTTTCATTGTATCACGCTTTCCTTCATTATATTGAGATACAGTGCCTCCCGTTTTATTGCCGCTATGGCTGAAGATAAGAATATATAAATGTATCTAGGAATACTAACAACAGTTAATTTAAATTGATTTAATTAAAGTTTAGTTCTTTAACGTTCAAATATAGATATATTGTAATATTTATTACCTATCGTGATCGCGCCGAGCAGGTTGAATGCTTCGCATATTCGTCTTTTCACCAAGCTTGCCAACATTTCCGCTCTGCTGTTGTTGCTGCTGCTGTTGTTGTTGATGGCCCACCTGGATACCCTGATCCATAGTTGGACTCTTTCGCGTCAATAAAGAGGAAGTTGGAGTTGTTGATCGTGAACCTCCACTAATCAGATCTAATACACCTGTGAAAGTAAGGTGGATAAACATGCATGTTATATCCTATACCATGTGAGCAATACCACGAATAAGAATTTCGAGGTCAAATATTTATTTAAACGTGATATAATATATGGAATATTTAAAATATGTATTAAATTTCCAATTCTAGCTCTAATTGAAGTATGATTGCAAAGTACTACATTAAACATACATTGCACAAAAACTAATCTTATAAAACGATTTCTACCTGAAATTTCAACTGTTCTTGCTATCATGTTACTTGCTAGTGCATAATGCTTCTAACGCTATTTAAATGAAAATCAAATGCATATTCTTAGGGTAAAATTATAAATTATAAATGCAATAAAGAAATTGTCATGCATTGTCAAAATATAAAAAGCTATCAAAATTCATGTGCATATAAATATATCATATAAGCCACAAATATATCAACAAATCAATTCAAATATTGAAACTGGAATACTATTATTTCATTATCTTAAATATTTATTGGCAATATAATATTAAATATTTGTCTTAATTTAAAAAATTATACACATTAAGTAATAATGTAAATAACGTTAAATTGTTTGTTATTGCTTAAATAAATATTTTTAAAAATTAACGGTATGAATTAACTACTAACATAAGAAAGCAAACATTAATATAACAGCGTAATCATATTGTAACAGATAATATTAAACAAAACATTATATCAAAATAATATTAAAAATTTGTAATAAATAACTATACATATATTCTTATATATGTATAGAAATATTAATAAATATGAGATCAAATGCACTCAAATTCAATCAAAATCACCCAAAAAGATTGACAATATAAAATTCAAATGCAAATCAAGTCATAATAAAAATTTATGTCACACAGCATAAGCAATGATTGATAAGCAATTAAAAGAAGAAACACAATAAAACAAAGAAGAAAAGACAATAATATTACAAGTGAAGTTAGCAAGCATTACCAGAGAAGCATCAAGCATGCCATTGGCAAGGGATAGTTCATAGCAAAAACAGTTTACCATCTTCCAGAGATTGGTCTTTTGGTAATGGGTCGACATTGGCCGTCGGTAGTGAGTTTGGGATAGAGATGGCATTGGGTTCAGCAGAGCCCAAGCTCAACTCACTTGGCTGTTTATTTATTGGTCCACGAGGATCTCTAGCAGAAGTTGGCATTCCCATTACAGGTCCCATGGTGCCCATTGTCATGCCATAGGGTGTTCCATACTGTCCACCCATTGGGCCCATCATTGGATGAGCATAACTAGGCTGTGGCTGGTATGATTGCTGGCTCATAGACGGTTGTACCGTCATCTATAAATAACCAGAATTATTTAGCAATCAGCATTATAGATAATACTGACCTACCCTTTATTATTTAGGTTTAGTATTGCGTATTAAAATTTCATTTGGAAAATTTTAAAAGAGAAAAATACATAAGTTATAATTACCTGCACAATGGCTGGATCATTTGGAATAGAACTGACATTGTTGACAACTCTAATATCTTTAATATCTGAACCACGGAATAGAATATATTCATATACTTGATTTTGTGGAGCCACTGGAAGTTGAGTTTCTCTATCTTCGGTGCCAAAAGAACGTACTATATTGAGAAAAAAATAAAATATTACACATTTTAAAGAATCAAATAAATGAAATAAGATATTTATTTATTACATTTTTATTATTATTTTCAAAAGTAATTGTCATAATTACATAATTATAAAATTAAATATAAAATGAAGATATACACTAATATAATAATACAGATGAAAATTAAAATTCAATAATATGAATAAATTGAAACCCATATCATACAATTTAAATTTTAACGATTTATTGGAACAGCTCTGTAATATGACAGAAAAAAGGAAGGACATAAGACATAAACAGGGCAAGTATAGAACACAAACATCCCATACAATGGTAGATTATAAGTAACGGCTTTCAAACTCCACATAAACATAATAGCAGTTATATTATCATTGAAAATATTGAATCCTAATCAAATAGATATTCTATGATTTAAATTCTATTTGTTTCTTCCATTTCAATTTAAAGCTATAGGAAGAAAATCCAACATAGTAACATTAAATAAAGAAATATTACAAAATTAAATATGCGCTTATTATGAAAAATCTTCTAAAATTTTAATTATTGCTCTGAAATACAAAATAAAATGTACAACTATTCATTTGAATAATATTATCTGACAGAGACTTGTTTCTACTTTTTTGTATCTAAGTATAATTTGTTACGAATTTAAGAGTGCTCTGTGAACGTTTGATATATTTATTAGAAGTAAAAGTATGTCAAATAATCGAGTAAATTTCAAAGTATACATTCAAATAAAGTACAAAACACCCGTTATAAGTGACGGGTGACCCCGGTTGTTTTGCATCAAAGTTTTACCGGATGAATCAAATACCGACTGTTCCATAAACGTTTTCGAATACAACAAATACACAAGAATCATGAAATTTTTGTAGAAGATACGTAAACGGGACACAGGGAGGTAAAACGAAAAGATAGTCGAATATGAAGAATGACGCTTATTAAAACAAGATAGCCGGAAAATGAAACAGCGGCAAAACTGATTTCGGTATCCATCTTGATTTCAGACTCACCATTAGCTAGAGCAATCGTGCATTCTTGAGGATCAACAGTAAAAAGTCGCCCCTCATAACGAATATCTGCTTTCGATATTAAACTAATCTTTGAGCCTAATTCTGGCATTCCTCCGCTCATCTTGAATCTCCTTCCTCTGCACGGTGATCGATGTGATATTACAGGATTCACGATACCATCTGACGAAACCACCAGCTGACACCAATGGTCGACAGCGAACTGCCAAGTCTACCAACAGAAATTGCGCATGCGCCACACCCCCTATATATTTACAAATAGTTTACAAATTTCAAATGTAATCAAGTTGAAAAATAAATAAAATATTAGAAATAGAAAGCAACGAGATAACACCGAAAAAAGTAAATAAATATTTTATTCGTACGATGCTGTATCCATAAACGATTTGAAACGAGTTTTAAATAACTTGTGGCTATAGCCATTAAATATTGTTATCTTCGAAACCTAAGAAAACGCATTGCTTATACTTATTATGTTTGCAGAAAAAAAAACATTGTACACGAAAGAAAAAGATATCTGATGAAACCATTTAAAAGTTGAGCTTACTATATTGGTATCCTTGATTAAAGTCGCCTTAGATATTAGAAGTTGTGTAAGTACCTACGGCTTTTGAATGTATGCCTTTTCCTTCTGAACAAAGTTTGTGAATGCATGCAAGAATTATGTGTGACAATAGGAAAATTTAATCGATGTGAGCAATTATTGTTCCACTAGCATATAATCTATTTATTGTGCAGATATTTAATTGACTAAGAATCTTGCACATTGTACCTTTGGCCAACATGGCGGCTTCATTGGGTCGGGTTTGTAAATTCGGTCTTTTGAAATCGAATTATGGAACATTATTTAACCAGGTATGTAATTTAAAAATGTCAACTGTTTTTAGATATATTAATATGTCTATTCGAAAAATATGATTCTTTATTTGCCTATCATTCTTATAATATTGAAGTATTGAAACTAATACGGATCTCTTGACGAACTATACAGCTTGTCGGCTGCTATGACATTTTTCTTAGAAAATACTTTAATTTTGTATCGTCTGTTACCTTTCCAACTCTAATTAAGCATGTTTTATAACAGGATAATAAATTCAACAAGATTTTGAAGACATTTTATTCGATGTTATGTAATAGTTATCAGCATAGAAAATTGTGATGTTGCTGTGACCAAACATATCTTAAATTATGTGGGTAGCTTCAGAAAATCAAATTTATAACTTAAAGTACTCGAAATATTATATTATTTAAATAACTATATATCTTTTATAACAAATTAAAACAGATAATAGCAAAATTAGTATAAATATCAATGTCAAATATAAATGTCAATATTTACTACTCCAAAATATGTTACAAATTTGATTAAGTTTAAAATAAAAAATATTGTATTGCAGGTTGAAAACTCTATTTGATATTTGAATTTTAATTTAGCAGGTACATAATTTCTCTACTGCAAACCAATGGTCTAAAGGTAGAAAAGTGGTATGTGTATTTGTCTAATCAATTGAAGATGCATCCCTATCCTTATTCCTAATGTACAACCAATAAAGTATAAAGTCACTAAATATATGAATACATATACATATATATATATATATATACATTTTTGTAGTAAGTTTTAAATAATTTAAATATCATAATATATATATCTTACCTATATATATACATATATGGAATATAAAGATCCATTTTAAAATACTTATATAATTAAAATAATTACAGCTGTTAGCATGTTTAGGAGTAACAGCTGGAGGTATTAGTGCATTAATTTATGCTTTGGATCAATCTGTAAAAGCTTTTGATCAGGTGGCACATGCACCAACGTACAAATGGGGTTTCTATGGAATGTTTTCTTCACTAGATCATAAGAGGTAATTAAAAGTATTATAAAAGGTAACCAGTAAGTTTTAAATATATATATTTGTTGTTATTTAGTCTCCGACGAGGTTGGGAAGTATATAAAAATGTATGTTCAGCCTGTCATAGTCTACAATTTATGGCTTTTCGCCATCTTGTGGGTGTTACACATACAGAAGAAGAAGTAAAAGCTATTGCAGAAGAATATCAGGTAAATACTTTTAGGCAGTTAAAGTAGTGTTAAACGTATAAAGATATAAATAGCATGGAATAAAAATTAATAAGCTAATTGCACAATATTAATAAAATATACGTTGAGGAATATATTTGCTAATATAGGTTCAAGATGGTCCTGATGATACAGGAGCTTATTTCATGCGTCCTGGTAAATTATCTGATACAATACCATCTCCATATCCAAATGAAGAAGCTGCTAGAGCAGCAAATAATGGTGCTTATCCACCAGACCTAACATACATTGTTAATGCATCACATAATGGAGAGGTAAATTGATTAAATTAAATTTTCTTACATAATTCCTAAATTGAATATTATATACGTTTTATCAATTTTATTTGAAACAAATTACTAATATTCTAGAAGTAGAGTATTCTTAAACATGAATCATACTTTACATTCTAGAATTATATATTTTCATTGTTAACTGGGTACTGTGATGCACCAGCTGGCCTTACTATGAGAGAGGGTCAATATTTCAATCCTTACTTTGTTAATGGAGCTGTTGGTATGCCACAAGTAAGTCAGTGTAATTAAGATACTTACATAAAATTGATTCCTATATTAATAGTATAATATTTTAGATTATCTATGATGAAGTGGTAGAATATACAGATGGCACTCCTGCAAGTGCTTCTCAAGTAGCAAAAGATGTTGTTGAATTTCTTATGTGGACATCAAATTCTGAATTTGATGAAAGAAAGAAAATGACTATTAAGGTAATAATTTATATTAATATATATTTGTTGAAATATATTCAATTATCATTAATCTAAAAATTACATAATTATTACTTGTTTGCAGGTCATTGGTTTGGGTGCAATAGCATTACCACTGGTCGTATATTGGAAGAAACTAAAATGGTCAACTGTGAAAAATACTAAAATACTTTTCACTCCGAGATATAAACGACAGTAATACTTTCACCTATAAAGCTATATTAGCTCGACGAAAATAATCCGACGATGTTAGGTTCGAATATTGGAATGTAGTTTTATACCTTGTTTGAACGTTGCAAAAACATAATTGCACGGAACTGTAAACGTTTATTTAATACGTCAATTGCCTTGTACATATAACTACAATCAATGTCATCGTCAGATTGAAATAAATTGTTAAACTTATTTGATTATATATTCATTGCCTAAACAAAAAAATTTCCTAAATATAAATATTATAAGGAATGAAAAAACGATTTAAAGATAATTTCTAAAGAAATTTGTTTATTTTTTTTTTTAAGCTTGACTTCATTGACATGGAGTAATAATTATTTAATATTTTTATTAGTATGAATTGGATTACACTATTACATTACTTATAGTGTAATACTGAAATGCAAAGCTAATGAAGAGGTATGTATAATGTTTCAGGTAGTTGAGAATTTAATAATATTACACGATAAATGTGAACTTGTGTTAAAAATCTCATACTTTGGTTTGGATTTACTTTAAAAGTAAGGATCAACATCTCTACAATTTGGACAATAAAATTTCAAAAAATTATATTATGTTTGAAATAATTTATGATTATATTTCTCTTTCTCTTTTTTTCTAAAATGTAACATAATTATGGAAAACTTTTCTTCCCCTCTGTATACAACTTTATGGGAACGGTATAGTTCATGGCAATTCATGATAGAATTACACTAGCATTCAGACCTGGTTCCCTAATCATTGAAAAACTACTTATGGTACTTTGGATATTTATTAAAAGTTAAGTATGATTTTATTAATACATCAATTATGAAGCTTTGATCAAAGAGTAAATAATACATGTTTGCACTATATCTGCACTATAATCATAAGAAGAAACTGAAAATATATTTCTAATATATAAATAGTGGAATATATGGAAAGTTAAGCATTTTTAATCTAATGCTTCATAAATTGATGTATACAATGATGCAAAACACTATACCATTAACCACATGTTATTACAAATCAAGTTATTACTTTATATTTTCAATTGTAACATAATTTGTTTATCAGTTAAGAAATACTTTTTTTTTTATAGAATAAGAGGCCGTTCTTGGATGATGTCTCAACCAAACACGCTCAATATATGCTCACTTTTATGCTACTTGCACAAAAAGGCACATTATTACATTAAATATTGATCTCAACAACCTGCTATTTGCTAAAATCTTAATAACAACTAACAGAGAAGAAATAAAGTAAGGCTTGATAAAAATGAGCACACAGAAATATAAATTATTAAAATTTAGAATTGTCTACAATAGTAATTACTGAGACACCTCCATAAATCATGAAATGGCACTTATGCACAAACTGAAATGTCATTCAGGCAATTTTGTTTCATTTAAAAAACTTTGAAGGCATAAGTTATTCTTAGTGATTATTACTTTTATTACACAGTCTGTGTTTCCAGTTTTAAGAATCAAAATATGACTTTTGTTTTAGATTGTATTAACTTAAAAAGCTGAAACAGCATTTCCTTAAATTAAATATGTGTGCATGGTTTTAAAATATTAAAATGAAAATAGTAATTTTACACATATAAACATATATATATATCATACAAGTATATATATGTTATGTTATATATGTATATGAAATATGCTTCATATTTAAGAAATAATAAGTAGTAAATGATTTATGAATTTTGTAAGTAAATGTTTTACTAAATTGAAAACACTGAATCAACTTTTATAGTCATTATCCCCCTTGCTTTTTTTATACAGATGTCACTTCTTAGTATATGTCTTTATTCGGCACCCATTTAATATTATTTGGTACCTTTATTGTATCTCGCCCCATGCTACCGCAGAAAGGAAGAGGTGTTGTGTTTACATGTGGTTAGGCTAAAAAGTGCTACCCTCTGGAGGCTGAGACAATTTCATATTTTCTTTCAATGTCATTAAACGGCGAAGTTCTTGAAGAACTGTCTTAATTGTATATTCTCGTTGCCATTTTGCAAGTACTGGTACACTGCGGTTATCAACCTATAAAATTTAAAATCAAATACATATTCCTATTTCACTGAAACTGAGAAAAAGTGATACTTACTGCACCAGTAGTGCTGTTGATACAATTCATATTGATCCTGCTTAAAAATCTTACATTGGGAGCGTCATCTGGATATCTCTGACCACAGTCAATTTTCAAACTATACATCCTATTTTCATATGGTGTCTAAAAAATGTCATATACTTTATAAGTAACATATTTGGTTAGTGATATTAAAATATTTTCCTGTTATTAATAATAACAGTTATCAGTTTTATTAATTTTATTTAACTTTTAACATAGTTAATTCTCTGATTTATATTTATACAATACAAATTCATGAAAAGATTTTAGAATAACAAAAAAGATATTCAATAGATAAATAAAATAATATAACTGAAATTAATTTATCGAAGTAGAATTAAAAACTTAGAAAAAATTACTCTAGGTGGTCCAATTATCATTCCAGTCCAATGCGTAAGAGTCATGTCATCATCGTTTTCCAAGCCCCAACTGATTGTACCATCACCTACACCTTTTTGACCTTGCTCTAATTCTTCTAATAAACGAAAGTTTCGAGGCACAACTAAAAACATAAAACTAAAGTTATCTTCCACGGAACTATGAGTGAAATCTTATTAATTAAAACCAGTGAAACAAATACAGGTTATGACTCTATGCTTTTAGACATAGTGTAACTTGCCTCTTGTTCATATTTTCATAATCTCCTCGCCAATATATATAATTTTATATATATGAAAAAAAAACAAAATAATACTGATATTTTCGAAACGTTGACGAATCATTGATTAGTTTTATACACGTTTACTGTGCGTGATAACTTATTATAACATTACACATCTGCTCTTGTATTTTACCGAAATTTCGTAGATGTAATTTTCACAACGATATTTTATTTATATCATTTATTAACCTTAACTCTTGAAATTTGTAAAAGTACGAGACCTACTTGCTGTTCCCATCTTTGGTCCGTAAAACAGACATAAAATACTTACCTACACCGGTAGTAGGTACCGCCATGATATCTTATTTTTATGAAGCGCTGTATATTTTTCTAAAGAATAGCAAATAACACCAAATAATGTACCCGAAACGTATTCACTTTAGAACATTCAATTCAACTATAATGCGAATCTTTCATCACCCAAAGCTAAGACGAAGAAAATAATATCTAATATTCAAGTGAAATTCACTTTGCGAAAATTCAGCCAACCTCCGTGAGGTTGTCTGTTTCCACAGACTATTCACTTTCTAGACGGGATTATCACATCATAAGTTTCATATTTTGTAATTACTATCGTTGTTTTTACAAACTCTAAGGCAATTTTTTTCATTTTCCAAATTTAGAAACACAACATTTATGATATTTATAGTCATATGATTGTAACATTACAAAATTTGACAGTTCAATCATTTTAAACGAATTTTATTCCTTTTACTGATATAAATTATTTTCTATAAAAAATGTAAAGAAAATGATAGAGTATTAATATATATTAATAATGATTTTTGTTATAAAGAAGATTATCTACAAATTTTTTAATTGAAATTATAAAATTTCATAGGTCGATGCTTATATTCAAATTACAATTTATACAAGATGTTTCAGTATTAATGGTATAAATAAGATAGGTAGGAATGATTCTACACGAAAAAGTAAGTCGGAAATACGGAATAAATTTTTTTTATTTGAGGTTTGTTTTTTATTTATATTTCGTTTTCGAGAAAATCGAGTTTGAAAATTTATCGAGTATATACATATACTTGAACTTGGTTAATTCCGTGCTGGAGAGGAGGTTAGTCTACGTATGAAAATATGTAAGTGGTAAGTCGAAAATATAGAACAAAATTTCTTCGTAGGTCGTTTCGTTTCTGTGAAAACAAAATTTGAAAATCGATGAAGTACACGTATACCAGGTCTATTCTTAACTAAACACATTCAAATTTTAATTTTTTGAAAACAAGGCCTTAAACAGAAAAGTGTTATTTTACTTTTTTCATTTATTTTTGCATGCGGAATAATCTCCTGCTGATTGTTTGCTTGTATCCAGATTGTAATTAGCTAAATTCACATATGCTAAACAAATATTCAAATTCAACTTTTTTGAAAACGAAATCTCAAATGACAAAAGTTTATTCTATATTTTCCACTTGCTTTTTCGTATACAATTAGCCAACTTCATTTATGCCATCAATTTTGGGATATCCTGTAGATGTAAATATTTTATATTATTGTAAACATTGGATTTCGTGTGTAGAGTCGGGGCTCCGTATTTCGTCGATACGGTTATGAACGATACGAATACTATAGGGAAGGAAGGTTGGTTGGTACAAATGGCGTCAGCTCGTAGAGGGGAGGAAGTCGGTAGTATCGCGCCGGCTGCGCAAGAGCAGCCTGCAAGACAGATTTTCTAATAATGAACAACCCGTGGTAACTGTCAGTCTGCTCGTGGTGCATTCGTTGACTCTTGGCTGCGCACAGTGTGTTCCGACGTGTGTTAAAATGTGCTGTATGTTTCATTGAATATTCCATTGAACGCGGATTACTCGAAGAACGCCGAAACTTCTGCTGTAACACAGGTAAAAAGAATTTGAATTTTTCGCATAAAAAGTTTACCTTGATAGCCGTGTGTGCTGTTTGACATACGTACAGATACGTATACCTATTGGAGTGCTCACCATAATAAACAAACGAACGCCATTGACCTTTAGTTTCGCACATTGGTGGTAATTTCTGAATATTATATTCGAAAGCATTCTTTTCTTAAGAAATTATATTTTGTTCATCTTCTATAACAGTTCATTTACACGAGTCTTTAGTCTAAATAATATTTGTGTCAGTGTTGGAACATATCATTGCAAGAATTGTAAACAGAAGGTATCGAATCAAAACAAGTGCTTTTCACGTAGACAGATAAATAGCAAATGGCACGGTAAAAAATATTGTAGCGAAAATTTGTAGTAATTAACTACTATTCTTTCGCAATTGACTAAAATTCAACGTTTGATGAATTATATTGTAACTTATTCTAATTAAAATGTATAAAATCATCTTTATACATTTTATTTTCATACGATAAACATTGTTATTGTATCTATTAATTATATAGATACAAAGCACCTTTGAAGACGACAAA